ATCATCTAGTCTATATGTACGTATTATGAACACTTAACTTCGTTTTGTTTTAAACGAAAAATACTGAAAATTTATCGTTTTTTATTCGCCCATCTTTGGAAAAAAATTCATTTTCGAACAAAAGTTCGAAAAAAGGAACATTTTCACACACTTAGTTCCGCAAAATCTCTCAGTCAGTTTTCTAAGGCTTGAGGTTCCTACATGGTTTTTAAAACGCTTTCCATTTTTAATTTTTTTCAAACGCACCTGGTAATACGTAATCGTCCCCGTTGATCACGAATACTGATATTAGAAGTGTCGAAAAATGATTAGTGCGGAGTGGTGGACGAATCATTTAAAACAAAAACAAAACGAAGTTAAGTGCTTATAATACGTACATATAGACTAGATGATACCCTCTACTCGATGGTGGAAACCTGATCTCTCTTGCTTGTTTTGTTCGGGAACTATAGATCAAACAATGTCTCACTATAGAGCTGGATGAATAATTTTGGTTCTCATTGTAAGTTCTAGAAGAAAAAGATTGTAGACAATTATCTGTATACAAAATACTTCATCAAAATTTATAACTCTTGGAGAAAATTATAATTAGGCTTTTTACTGTCTTATCGACTTGCATTGTTGAAGAATCATCGAAAGACTATCATATTAGATATCATGAGAAAAAGTTTTTGTGTAGCACAGCACAACTGTTTTTGACATTGGAAGTGGACAATTGGATAATTGGAGAATATTAGTTTTATGCTGCTTCTGTAACACAACAATTGTATCAATGAACAGATGACGTATGTGACCAGCGGGAACTATTCGACTAATGGATACATATGTACATATAAGGCGAAAAAGACGATTATTTGTATATACACCAGTGTCACAAAACCAAGTATAGGTGCTTTTATCCTTTTCAACTGCTAATTCGACTACATCCCTAAAAAGAAGATTTGTGTCCGGATAGAAACAAGTACAGTTTTTAAATTTAGCGGACAAGTTATTCGGGATACTACCAGTTGCAATAGAAGTTAATGTTGCTCCACTCTTTTCACATGGATGAGAATTGATGATAATTAGAATTTTTTGTAAAAAATGTTTGACAAAATAACCAAATTCAACGTTATTAGAAAAAAAAAGAATTTTGAATAACTGAATGCTTGCTAACCTTTGTGGGTAAGCTTGAATTCATCGTTAATACATTTTGTTCGGTTAAATTAATAGTAGATGGAAAAGCTTTGTGAATATAGAAGAGGATAATATCGATGAAAACGGATGTGAGTTTAGTGGGAGAAAGTTGTGGATTATATTCAACAGTAAATTCGAGATCAAAATACATTTTTATCGGCTGTCCTTGTTGAATAATTTCGTACGAGTGATGGTGAACGACGGGAAATTGTTTGTAAAACGATAAAAATTCTATAATATTGGAAACAAGAAATAGAAGACGACCGGTTGGTGGTGATTCGAAGGCGAATAGTCGAATATCAGCTGTTGTTGGAGAATCAGAATGTGGAATAGAGTGTCGATAATGCAGTGCCTGTTTTAGCCGTTGAAATATTCCCATCGTTGGTGTATTTTGGTAAGGAAAAGTATTAAAGTGCCAGTTCGACATGATCTAATGAAACTAAAATGACAAAATTGTTAGAAAGGTATCAAGAAATATTTGTGCAAGAAGGATTTCGACCAATAGATTTTTCCGGCTGCTCGTATAGAATATTGATTGAAGTTATACGTTAATTAATCTTTAGAGTCAGTCAGATACGTCCAATCGGAACCGTTCCAAAGGGTCGAAATCATGGAATAAGATGACTTTGATGAGTTCTGGATACATTAAGGCAGTAAAATGTAGTGGACCGATTTTCAGTCTTATGAGGACTGGTCCGGCGTACCGGCTTATCATGAGCAAATCCCCGAACTTGTCCAGGTACCTTGAAAGAAAAAATTAACTATTTATCAGCTAAAAGACCTTTTTTACTAATTAGGTTACTGCTAATATAAGAACTGCATTCTGCTGGAGCGGATGCTCGACGTAGAACGTATGAAGTACATTATAATTGTTTAGGTATAAAAGAATTGAGGAAAGCATTGGAAAACGATTACAGTACAAAATCTAATTCTCGATTAATTATAAATCTGCTTTGAAAATCAGCAAATTTATTTGACATACCTGTTTGCTCGTGTTTTTTCATAACTACCCACATTCATCCAAGTGGCTTAGCTATCTTCATTCCATCTTTTTCAAGTTGCGTATGCTCTCTAGTCGTCTGATCTGTAAAACTATGTTTTAACATAAGACAAATTGATTAATGATGTGGTTAAATCTGATGTACCTCGAGAATAATATTGATGTTCACATTCATTTTTCTTATCACCTCTTGACTCTCCATGCAGGGTTGCTAGTAATAACGCATGTGTGAAGTAGTACACAGTCAACATTTTCCACTAAGAAACCGATATCAAGTTTTTATTAACTGAAAATGATTTTTTTGATTTAGAATGACTCTCTATGTCTGAAAATACTATTCTAGCAAGAAAAAATCTTCTTCTGGAGACTTTTAATTTTTCAATTAAAAATGGCCGATTTTTACGGAATACAGCTGGAGTACTTTAGTACATTTAAGTATCGTACAGTTATCATGTTCACATTCCAGTGCATTGTGATACATCACAATTTTCTTCAACTATACTACTTTAAACTGGTTTATGTTTCGTTTATACTTACTGGTATCTGTATCTACATGCTATACAACATCTTAAAAATGCGTTTACAATTATATATATTCTTATTAGGTGCACCAAGTTCACCTGGAAGTTTTCACATTTTTGCTTCACAGAAGGAACGCTGGCAAGCTTTTTCTTCACTGCTTTGTTCTTATCTTACAAATACTGAGAGACAGTTGTATAGATAAGATACACGTTTTCTGTTTTACCTGCCTTATTTTTTTTTATGGTATAACATTTAAAAAAGCGAAAAAATTTTTTTATAATTATTGAATGCAGATTCTATAGTAGAAAGAGCAATTGTTGGTTCCTTATCCACGCTCTTCCACGTATGTTTCAATTGTGAGTGATCGTCCTCAATGAGTTTCCAGAACCACACGATAGTTAACCTTCATACTTTGACTGGATAGTGTACAGTCGTTGAAGAGTATTTGCGGTGAGTCTGAAGTCGAACTGGTGTTCCTAGAATGAGTTTTGAGTTATTCTTGGAAAGGACCTCATATCTCAGACCCTCATTTTCAGAGGCCTCACGCGTAAAATAGCTGTATTTCACTGACTACTAACAGCCAATTCACAAAATATTATATTGAAGATAGAGTAGAGTCGTGGCTATACTTTAGTAAAAATAAAAAGTTTTCCCCTCTCTCTCTTAGGTCAGCAGCTATTGATATTTTATGAAAAAGGCATAGATCGCTTATATCTCACGAACCATCTGATAAAAGAGGCTCAAACTTGGTGCGTGATCAGCATTCGGCAAGAGCCATGACCACACAAAATTAGACGTCCCTAGCTATCATGGTTCTTGAGTTACAGGGGAATCGCTACTTTTGAGGAGTACTGTATTTACCATTCTTCCTTTCTACTTTCCCTAAGTATAAAAGGAGTCTAAATGTCGAAAGCTGACAATGATATGAGTCAGAGTCAATACTTCCTTTATTTTTCTTCTTTATCTGTACCATCTCTACTACTTGTTAGAAAACATACAGTAGATTACGCCGTTATCCAATTGATGGAATACAAAGTATTCTATTCGAAATTGTTATTCATCTAGAAGTAAACAAATTTCCATTTGTAAATATTTCACGTTTTTTGGATCAAAATAAGTATTATAGAATAAGAATTATAGAAAAATTAATTTAAAAAATATTCTTTCAGAAGAAGAGAAAAAAAAGTAAGCGTTTGAAGTTAATTGAAAAAAAACGAAATTCGAAACGAAGTTTTAAACTTTTTGTTACTATGACAACTTTTTTCTGTTTTCGAAGCGCCGACACCGTCGACGAAAATGAAAACTATTTCTTACTAAGGTTAACGGGTACGACATAGATGATGATGATCATTTTTGAGAGGTATTGATGATACCTACCAAAAAGTTTGTTGATTTTGAACACGGACACTCATTATCTACTGCAGAAAAGAACAGTCACAAAGACGACAGAACATTGCCGGTTTGAGCCTTCAAACCGATTTGATTACAAGTTTCGTTCTTTTGCAATGTATAACACAGACGTTTGACAAGTGATTCATAAAATGTTTTTTTCTAAGTAACTCAGCCAAAAAATACGTATGCACAGAATGAAGAAACCCGAAAAAGTATTTTCGTAAAAAATAAAAGCGCATAATTCCAGCTAAAAATTTCCCCGTGAAACAAAATTTATACGTTCAGAATGTTTTGCCATTTCGAAGGAATTATTTTCTGGAAAAAAGACGATGAAATTGACCATTAAGTAAATGTGGTCATCATCAGCAGGTAGCTTATGAGCGTATCCGGTAACGATTGTCGCGGCGGCGATAGTGCCGACCCCATAGGGTGACGTTTATGAGCCTCGAGACAGTAATACAGAAAATTCAGTTTCCAGTACGTTTTTCCATAAGCACAATGTTCGGAAACTTCCTAGTGAAAAATCAAAAATGATTAAAAAAATCGCATTTTCTCCATGATTTCGTGCTGCGACGTTTATGCCGCTATCAATCTGTTTCTCATTTGTTTTTAAAAAGATTTTATTCCTGCTCTTTGTAACCGAGAAAAGTAGACCAGAATGGTGAAAAGATAATTCTTTGTCGAAGAATTATGCGTTTTTATTTTTTATGAAAATACTTTTTCGGGTTCCTTCATTCTGTGCATACGTATTTTTTGGCTGAGTTACTTAGAAAAAAACATTTTATGAATCACTTGTCAAACGTCTGTGTTAAACGTTGGAAAAAGAACGAAACTTTTATTCAAATCGGTTTGAAGGCTCAAACCGGCAATGTTCTGTCGTCTTTCTGACTGTTTTTTTCTACAGTAGATAATGAGTGTCCGTGTATGTTATAAATGTCGACGACCGGGTCACTTTGCTCGTGATTGTTATCCAAGCGACGAAAGTGATGAAGATAACAGTGATGATCGAATCTGGTAAGAACATCTTCATACAACGAATTCCCTATCTGATCGAAGCTTTTTCACAAAAATGCGTACAGTTTTCGAAAAACAACTATATATTTCGTGAACTCGTGCTGGTATCTCGGAAGTAGCCTATTGCTTACTGGTTTCAGTTGTGTTTTAGTTATCGATGTAATCGTCCCGGTCACATTGCACGCGATTGCCAAGATTTACCGGAGCCAAAGCGGTGTTATCGTTGTCAAGCAGTTGGTCACATAGCTCGAAATTGTTATCAAGCATCACATTGTTATAAATGCAATGGTACAGGACACATTGCTCGTAACTGCAGTAGTCTGCTACTGTCTGCAGAAAGCCAAGGTTCACCACTCAATGTACAGAGTAAGGAATTTTTGACACTTTTTACTACCTTCATTTGCCGTTAAATATTCTTTTCCTAGCTCATCAAACAACAGCCATTCCATCGATTTTTGTTCGTATGGGCGATCTGGCTAAAGAAAGAGTATGTATGTAATAAAATTGATCACACAACGCTAACGTCCTGTGGTAAAAGCAAATACAAAAGAATATCAGATTATTGTGAATGAATTCAATAAAACCATGTTTGGTCACTATAAAAAAATAACTAAAATTGAACATATACAAAACGAACGGTGGCACAAACAGTACATTGTACATCGTGACGATTTTAAACGGCGCTTACGTATGAATACAGAAAAATTTTTGTATCACGGATGTTCGGACGAGGCAGCAAACAGTATTATTCAGGATTATTTCAATCGAAGTTTTGCTGGACTACATGGTAAGGCCCCTTTTCTTCTCTTAAATAAAGGAAATCAATAAAGGTCGAAGTTTAAATTTCTCGATGGAGCATTTTATTTTAGTAAGCTGCCTGCTGGTAAAGATAGGTAGATTATAGGTTTCCGAAACAAGTGTTCAGACATTTTAGACTCAAAGAACCACCATCACAAGATTTTAAGTAATATTTTTTGTTTTGTTATAGGTACGGTTTACGGCAACGGTGTTTATTTTTCGTCACGAGCTCATTATAGTCATTCCTATAGTGTACCGAATCAACGTGGAGAACGTTGTATGTTTTTTGCCCGCGTATTAACTGGATATACAACTTTGGGTAATAATACAATGAAAGTTTGTCCACAAGATTTTCATACGACTACAGATGGGACACACATTTATGTGACCTATCATGACACGCAAGCTTACGGAGAATACTTGATATGGTATCAGTAAAAAAAAAGAAGCAGTTATTTTCACTTTTTGTATGAAAGATTAAACCATTACAAAAAATAAACCATGGAGCTGTACTAAAAACATCGGGTTTAGAAAAATAAAAAGATTCGCTATATCAAATAATGGCAAAGCATAATAGGTAGTTTACCTCGCTTGTTTTTGGAAAAATTCGCCTGTTCTTTCATCATCGACTTACGAAATAACCAGTTTTAAACCGATATCCGGTAATAGTTTAAAAAAACGTTTCCTTATTCTCTTCTCACTTAAAAATGTGTAGACTGGTATATTCTAAGTAAATGCCTTTATAATCTACCCTAGTGAAATTTCTTGTACCCAAGATCTTGGGTTTGAATATGTTGGATAATCGGTTTTCCGATTTGAAGCCAAAGCTCATTCTTTTCCAGAGGAAGCCTGAGAATTGGTGCCAAGTCTACAAATGTCTGATGTGATATTATTAGAGATGGGCGAGTCACCTAAATCATCAAAACGTCTTTCCCGCTGAAATTCTGAGTCTTTAGGCAACAAAATGATATATCGACTTCTAGATGATTCTTTAAGTGACCCATTTCTATAGGATATCCAAATGAATTACCGCGTCTAAATATGTACAATTAATTTCTCATTTGTATATGTAATATACCAAGAGCTGCAACATCGCTGTATGAACAACCATAAACCAATGTTCTAGATAAACTGAATTATCCGATTACTTTTTCCAAATCGAAAAGTAAACCAAAAATGTGCATTAGAGCTATCATCTAAAAAAGACGTTTGAATAGCAAATTGCGTACATGTGGTACAAAGTTATGGTCATTTTATTAATTTTGAAAAAAACATTTTCATCTTACATTTTTAAAAAGACAAAAATGTTCGTGTATAAAAGTTGCAAAGAAATTCATAAGTTTGTATTGAGTAGGTATGTTACAAACCCAAATCCAAGCGACTTGGGCGTATTGGGTTTGGGTACCCAAGTCTCCGACTTTGGTTTGGGTATTGGGTACCGAAGTCTCGGAATTGGGTTTGGGTCAGTTGCCAACGTACATTAATATTCGTCTTCAATGAAACTTATCAATAGTACCTTACGATCTTCTGCCATACTATTCATTTATCTTTTTCTCTTCATCGTCACTGTTTTCGCTTCCAAAAATTCACGTAATTCTTCAGTTTTCCCTATTCTTTTGTATCATTTTTTATAGTGTTCACCGATCATTTGTTAACATATTTATGGTATGTTACCAGTGCTTATCTTTTTAGTATTTTTCTGTTTCAAGGATGAGAATGATGTGAACAAGATAAGTAGAATAAAAAATTCAACTGTTGGACATTTGAACTAGTCCAAAATGAGCTCTTGTCGCTAGCATAAGGCATTATGTATGTCCACCAGCCGAAATAAACATCCTACATCCTGTTTTCTCAAAGAGCCACAACAAAAGCAGGTATCTCAGTTAAAAGGAGGCTTTTAATAACTCAAGTCTAACCCAATACCCAAGCCCAAGTATCAGACTTACAAGGGAACATCTCCAAGTGTGAGTCTCAGTTTTAGTGGGATATGTACCAGTTTGTAGAACTCGACGAGCTAATTCTTCTGGTATGTTCCGTTTTTCCCCATAGACCTTAAATGAGAAAATTGGTAAGTTTTATTTGTACAGAATAACACTGAAAATATCGAACTTTTAAGCACAACATTCTCACAGAAAGGCAATTTTAAAAACTGTTTATAATACTTTGAGCCACTGATTCTCACATATCACACCCAAAACTATTTAAAGAAACGGTGCTCTTTATATTCTCAAGGTTATTTTTGTGCATGACAATATTATTTATATGATAGGATTTGACCAACTGAAGTTGCATAAGAAAGCTTTTTTCTACATTCCGAGGTGTAAGCTTTATGATTTTCGTGTTTCGAGTTGCATAGGCTATCATTTTATCGTTTCATTGGTTTTATTCGGAAAACATATCAAGAACACAATCAATGGAAATGATACGTGGTGAAAAAATGTTCGAAACACAATATTCGTCGACAATGACTACAACAAATAAATG